GGGTTGTCATGAGTTTCAACATCAAGAAGCGCAACTTTCTTCTGGCCAGTGTATGCCTACATTGACCCCTCAAACCACCCCAATGTAGGCAAATATGCCATACATGGAGTGTCTGGGTGAGGAAGCTTTGGCCAGCCCCTCGCGATTACTCCAATGCCAGAATTGTGCTCGCAGCAGCTGGGATATTCTTGGTGGGTGGACGTCCTTGCATCAACTGTCAGCTGTTTACTGCTGAACACACAAAGGGGTCTCTTCAGAAGGGAGCAGGGGAACAAAAAGAACAAAACAGCATCTCTATCATTCTATCATTTACCAAACAAACACGTCAAACAATGGACTTTGCACGGTTCTTCAATATGTTTCTTGGGCTTCCTACTTGTGACACCGGCACACCAATCCTCGACCTTTAGCACCTCCTGCCACAAAACAGAACCCGGGGAGATCTTGCTCCACTTGCTTCACCACCAGCCTCGGTCTTCTTTTCCCTACAGTGGTTTCAGAGTATAGATGGCACAACCGCCAATTTTGGCGGTTGATCTGGACCTCCGTCTATAAAAATATCATTTAGGTTTGCGCCATCTATTCTGGAGAAAAACCTATTCCACGAAGAATGCATACCTACTAGCTGGATCGTCCAACTCTGACACATATCATTTAGGTTTATATGGACCTCCTGTTCTTTTCGGGGCGGGCCCACCGTCCGCACCTCAACTCCGAGGACCAACGCTTCGCCAAGTCCTGCAGGACTTAAGCGCTGGGACCGGGCCCAGGAACTGCGAACTGGCCGAAGAACAACTCACCAGGGGTCACATGCCGGGGTGCCTACAGAGGTAGCCAGTGACCTGAACTAGGACCCTACAGGAGTACCCAACTAGGATAGTCGAACTAGGGTTCTGACCCACCTCTGCTGGTGGTGTGGCTAGTACCATCCAGTGGATGTGACTTCTGGGCACCCTGTACTCCTTCCTCCGTTCGTCACCGGCACCCCGTCGACTGTGCTGGCAAGGACTTCCAACGAATTTGGGAGGATGGACTCCATGGACTCCATGGGCCCAAAGATGGCCAAAGACCTTAATCGATTGAGATTCATTCAAATAAGCAGATCCTGGCAAAAATGGATTTACACAGAAAAGCAACATCACCAGATCCGCCCAAACCCGGGGACCTCGGGAAAAGCGGAGGTTTGGAGGAACATCATGGAGCCGGACGCCTCTTCAAAGGGACGAGATTCTTTTTGAGGGGTGGTTGGCTTATATGTTTTATATATAATAGTCATATTATATTATACCTCTTCTCAGACCTTCTTTTTAGCGCAATTAGCCAAGTCGTTTTTCTGGAGAACTCAGCCCATTCCCCACTCTTGGCGAGAGTGAGCAGTGGGAACGTGTTTTGAGGGAGAATATCCTCAGAACCGTTTCAGGACCTCTTCAGGGAGGAGTCTAGTGGAAAAAGACATGGCTTCCTCAAAGGGACCTCTTTGGAGTCCTATTCAGCGACCATGTCCAGGCCTGTTGGTGACCTCAAACCAGGTGATCAAGTTCGGTCACTTTGAAAAGCCTGGAACGTTTCAGGGAGAGTTTGGGGATTCGTTTCAAGGATTAGGTCTGCCAAGAACGTTCAAGAAACCACGTGACGTAGGTGCAGCTTCGCCGTGGACCTGCATACGTCCTTCACAGGCTTTTTCTGGTGATGTTCGTCGAGGAAGCGTCCAATGAAATGTGGGGCCTCCCCACGTGCAGCGGCCCAAATCCATCTCAAAGGTCTGCAGCCCAAGACTTTCAGGGACATTGGCAGGCTTCCTGGCCCATTGGTTGGGTTGAATTCCCGCACAGTCCTTGTTGTGCTAAGGATGTTGCACTTGAACCAAATCAAGTGAACTCTTGGAGTGGTCGAAAGGAATGGGATCAATAACGTGGACGAGTTCTTGATGAGAATTCGAGGATAAGAATACCCTAGGCTTCCAACAACCATTGTTTTAATGGCCTTTACCGAACCACCGTTGTTTTACTAAGGATTTTACACTACGCAACCAGATCAACCTTTCTTTTAATGGTCTTGGAAGCCTAGGGAATATATAAGAATTGGTACACCCTATATATAGGAAGCCCATGGAAGTCCTATGCCCTAAGAGTCCAGTCGACGATTTAACATATGGAATGACTACCTGGACCTTCAAGGGGTGTCCAATCGAGGTCCCTTAGTAGTGTAGGAGCTTCCATTGGTGACCCCTTTGAAGGTGCTGGTAGGTGATGTTTTTGGTTCAACCCCCCCGTCCCCTCTGACACGGTTTGACTGCCGTGTAGGCGCCCCCGTCATCTGATCTTAGGGTGATCTCCTCGCGGCCCGCGTGGCTGAGGGACTGCAAGACCGTGCCCAGAGTGATGCCGTTGTTCCGCCTTGACCGCTTTCAGCGCACCAGGCCAGTGAAGGACAAAGTTGGGCAAGTTTGGCATTAGCTAGAAAGCATTCATGCAAGTGTGGCGTTGTTTATGATGTTTATGTGTACTCCAATTTCACCATTCAAAGTTAAAAGCTGGGTCGAATAACTTGGATGTTGTCTGGCTCATCCAGAACGCTGGATCGATTGCGGGGCAATGCGTGGCATTTCGCCAGGTCTGGCCGTAAGGGTTCAATCCGATAGAACTGCGATGCAATTGGGAAAGCCAAACCCTCAACCGTGTGCAGGACAGAAACAAGCTTCCAATTAAAGAAAGTGTTTTTTGTATTTCAAACATCACATCGTCATAGCTAAGCTCCTCGCACCACAGAGTTTGGGTGGCTTTGTTTGCCACCTTCCAACCACCATGTATGTTCCTTCCAACCTCTTCCAACCGCTCGAACTCCGTGGTGTTTGAAGTCGCACTTTCTCTTCCACACCCATCAGCTGCGGCGAAAAAACATCAACCTCCGCTCTGACATCAAAACTGACATGAATCAACACTGATATCAAAAGGGAAGCTGAAATACAATCAGTTTGCTTTCTTTCATATCGATAGGAGGCTCAGATCCAATCAGCTTGCTCTTCCTTCTCCCATCCAGTTGGGCATCTTTCCCGTCTTCCTCCCTGCCGCCTCCCTCGCGTCTCGGTGACCTGCTCGCAGGATGGTGGCGGGTCCCCCCTGGGGGTCTTTGGTCCACGGTCCACGGCAATGCGGCGGCCCAAACTGTTCCAACTCGGCAGAATATTGATGCAAAATCCCAGAGATGGAGTGCAAAAACTCTTCTATACATAGAGGAGCTGACTCATCAAGTAGTAAATAGCAGCTCGGTTGTTTGGGATTACCAAGGAATCCTAGACTTCACCTCCTCCAAGGGCTCTCAGGGTTCGCAGGTTCACTAGTTGAAGCTGTTGAGGCCGGCGGGGAGTTTGATGCCAGATGGAATGATCCTGAAGCATGTTTTCTTATACAGTAAGTCTTAAAAGATCTTGGATGCCAGAACTATGCCAAGCATGTTGATTTCTTGCTCTATCCATCCAGCATGGTGACATTTAACACCAAGCCTGACCTGACTCGCTGAGTGGTACTGGAATATAATGGTTAACCAAACTTTCCATCAGTTCTTGCTTTGTGGGTAGCTCCCACCAGTGCACTCGCCAAGGGGCCAGATGTAAAGCCCAAAACCAAGGACAGCAGCTGATGGCCGCGTTGTAGCACTTGCTCACATCCTCCCCTCCATCCTGCAAACCAAACCGCCACCATCACCGCGGAAAGTGCGCGTGAAACGGCGTGAAACGACTGTGGTGCTGCTATGTGCTGCTGCCCCTGCTGGGCGATGCGTCGATGATTGGATGTCTTCTGGGAACATTTGAGGGGGAGGAAGGGTCCAGTGCGTGGCTCTGGTAACTAGTCACCCAAAATATCCTCAACGGTCGATTTTCCGGAGCTTCATGTCATTGATAGCATTGGTAGGGTTAAGGATTATGCGGGGGTGCTGGAGGGCTTAATGGCCGTCGGTCGAACAAAGGTCAAAGGTGTCTGGGGTATTGGACATGAGGTGGATCCTCCTTGTATAGTCTACCAAGAGTCACAAAAGTATGCTTTTTAGTCCCTAAGTGAGTGGAGTAGCTGGGCGCCCCTATCCTCCATTAGGCACCCCACTCCTATGACTCCTGGTAGTTGAAGTTTCGAGACATTTCGAGACCAAAAACCTTCCATGGGCATGGGCATGTGATCGTGGTTCTCTGGACGTTGATCTGAAAAAAATCTGAAAAACACATCCTGATCATTGGCAGAGTACGAAGGCTCTCCTTCCAACTGCTGCCTCACAAACTGTCCAAACATTTTGGACGCAAAGCGTTTCAACATCTAATTAGAGGGCCCTGGAATATAAACCGCCGCTTGGATTGTAACACCCCTTCATATGGGCATAATATGGGGGGTTGAAGGGGTTGAAGGTATATTCAAGCGTCTACACTACAGCAGGCCCTGCTGGACTTTCCCTCCCTGCTCCCGCGGCCTTGGGGACCCGCCGCAGCAGGGACAAGCTACGCTGCCAAAGCTTCGCGGCCGCGCAGGCGTCGAGCACCGCCACCTGAGTCTGATTCTTGGCGAGTGGATCCTGGCAGAAACCAAGAGAGGTTAAGTGACCTACCAAGAGGCCCATAACTTGGGGTACCCTGGCCTGGGATAGTGGCAAAACAGAGAACAGTCGGGATCGTCGGGTTCTTCAACCTGTGTTGGCCACCGCCGTCGTGGAACACGGCCGGATGGAATCCGCAGCGAAATGGGGTCGTGGATATAGGGGACTCAAAATCCTCAGGGAACCATCGGAAAGACCGCTGACGCGTCCGAAGGCCGTGGCCGTGTTTTGTTGGTCGAGTGGGTGGGCGGTGAGGAGCGGATGTCATTCTTGCTGCTTTCGTCTTTCAAAGGTTCTTCCAGCTCAAGCCGTGCCTGTCAAACCCCTTTCTACAGCTATATGTGTAACGCGGCCGCCGGAGCTCTGCCCAGCAGCCAGAGTCGCCGTTTTCTGGCGGATCGTATTGTGGGACACCCACTGCAAGTCCAGGCCCTTCACTAAAGGATAACTCCCTTCGATTGCCGCCTTGCGCGAGGCTTTTGGCATTGGAGCCCTCCAGCCCAGAGCTTTTAAAAAACATACAGCATGGCATAAAACATCATAAACCTAGTTCCCGACCATGAAGCTGCATGAATCATAAAATCATAAAGCTGCATGTGCAGATTTACACTTGGTTCCTAACATTTCCTAACCTGGTGGGGCACAAAACTCTGGCCGCGGTGACTTTGCACCTCCACTCCGTACTTCTCAAACTTTCTCAAAACCTCCTTGTCTGCTTCGTCTAGATGAGTAGCGTTGCTCTTCTCACAATATAGGGGCTGACCTCTTTCAGTCCATAAGTGAAAACCATAGAGCAAACATTTCCCTCATGCTTACAGTAAACTTTGCAGCTTTGCTTTGCTCGTTTGTTTTATGCCTCGACTCTGTTTAAACATCTACTCCGAACTCTACCCACCAAACCTTCTAAATGATATCTGCCCAGCACTGGGAACGAACCCATACACTGCGCGGGGCCCACGCTAATGGAGCACTCAAAAGCCAGCGCTGGTCCGTGGAGCACTCTCAAAGCTCGCAGCTTCCGTGGCTGTCCTCGGTTCATGCCCAGAGGCCCAACTCAAACAGCAAGCCACGGAAGCTGGATCAGGACCCTTCGGACCCTTCGCTTGCTCAAAGTCCACAGGCTTAGCAAAACCCATGGAAGACCATTTGAGCTAAAGACTTCAGAGAGGTCTCTCGACCAGTTTAAGCCTCTACCCCGGCTCCTGGCGGAACCACTGGTCACCACCGCTCTGTGGCCATGTTTCGCGCGGCGCGTAGAGTACAGCCGTGCGGCCCCTCCAGTGTGGCGCCCTCTGCCTCGGCCTCCGCGATCTGTTCTGCAGCACGCTGCTGCATGTCCTGCGACGTGCTGCAGGGCCCGAGATGTGGCGCAGGGTGTACCAAGTCCATACACTGCCAAAGGCCCAACAGATGGTAACGTGACAGGCCTGCACGGGCACCCGCAAGGGTCCTGATCAAATGTGAGCCCTCGAACGGTGACCAGAGCTCTTCAGGATGCATGTCAATTTTATATATTACATGTATAATACAAGTAAATATCAATATCGGGTGGGGTATCGATGAGACCTGCCCCCCCTTCCAAAGACCGTCCAGAAAAAACAAGGCGCCAAATGTGAGTGTTTCCAGCATGCATGCCTCAACCACATGGGCAATGTCAATGGACAATGGTGCACTATATAACACACTATGGCTCATAACAAATGAAACAACTATTGAAAGTAGCCTGCACAAAGTACCATCAAAGTACCATCAGTATAAAACGATGAACAACCATCAAAGATCATCAAAGGACACTGCACAAGAAGCGACTCTGGAGCCCTAGTATCAAATATCAGTGAACCAATCATGGATAATCATGGTATGGGTTTTGAGAAGACCCTGCACATCTGAACCCCTTATTTCATCTTGCGGTAACTTTTGTCGGATGCTCCTCTTATTAAGGGGAGTTGTTGGACGCTTTGATTCATCCAATCCACCCCTCTCTCTCCGTATATATATATATATATATGTATGTGTGTGTGCGTGAAGTTGTGGCAAGCTCCTAGTGGCTCCCACCCCCGTCCCACCCAGTCCCAGTCACCGTCCCCCTACACCGTCCCCAAGTCCCGCCGCCCCCGTCGCCCCGCCTCGACGTCCAGGCCCCTCGGCCAGACCGAGGCGTTGCGGATTCGCCCCACCACGCCGCGGTCCGTCCACTCGGGATTCCTTCCGCTCGAAGCGTCGTTCCGCACGGGAAAGTGTCGGAGGGGGGGGGGGGGGACGAAGGGGAGGTGGAGGGTTGAAAGTGTCGGAGGCCTGGAAGGTTGGTTGGTTTTTGGACGGTTTTTTGGTGCTGCACTTGTTTTCTGCAGAGGAGCTTCTCTAGAAGTCAGGAAGGATCTCAAGAATCCTCCATGCTCGAGAACGGTCTAGTGGTCAAGTCAGTTCGATCTGCAAGATCCTGTGTACAGTTCGCCTCAAGCTCCTTAGTTGTATGCTACAGAGCAAAGAAAATGTATGTCTGGTTTGTTTCTTGTTTTTGGGCCCCCATTCGCTGTTGCTTCATGGATAGTTACTACGGTTGTGCTCTTACGCAATGCATATGAACCGGCCATTACATTTGGCTCAAGGCACATCTTGCGCGATAGAATAGCCGCTTAGCTCGCCTTCGCTCGCACGCTCTTGTGAACCTTGCTAGCCTGTAAGCCGAGCCAGGGACACTGTTGATTACCGCTCCACTGCGGGGGATTCCACCCTCTCCCCTCCCCTCCCCTCCCCGCCCCTTGTTTCTTGTTTTTGGGCCCCCATTCGCTGTTGCTTCATGGATAGTTACTATTGGTATGCTCTTACGCAATGCGAATGAACTGGCCAGTAGATTTGGCTCAAGGTACATCTTGTGCGATAGAAAAGCCGCCTAGCGAGCCTTCGCTCGCACGCTCTTGTGTATACTTGTTAGTCTGTAAGCCGATCCAGGTCGACACTGCTGTTTACCGCTCCACTGTGGGAAATTCCACCCTCAAAGTGGTAGCGGAGCTTCGTTGCTCCAGAAAAACCCGAACTAACGGGTGTGCTTCGGCGCACCTTCGTTCGAGTCGAGCCGCTACAGCTAGCACACACTGAGCGATAGCGAGAGTTCAGAAGAAGGCCATGAATCAGATTGTTATCCAGATGGCAGCACGTATACTTATTATCAAGCCCAGACCGCAACAAGTCCAGACGCCGCTCTAGCGGCAGGGCATCGTAGGCCAGATGCATACGATGACTCCGAAGATCGCACCGACTTTCGCTGGTTTAACATCCTGGTTTGAGTATGAAGATTGCATAGATGATTGGTGCAGCCGCACACTATAAAGGCATGCTGGAGAACCGTTTACTCGCAGATGCAGATCATGGAGTTGACTACTTGAAGAGGACACTCCGTCCCTTCTTCATCAAGGACAATCAACATGTGTTTCTGAGCAGATTCCTTCAGTTGTTTCGACAATGGCATGGTTCGCGTGAGATGTTTACTTGGATTGGTCTTGTCGAAATCACCATGAGACGTTTGCAAAACGCATGGATGGACCTCTACCGAGACCTCCCAGCACCACAAACAATCGAGTCCACCAATACTTTGACTGCACAACAACGTCAAGAGATTGCAGCAATGGATGTAGACGACAGACCTGACGCTGTACAAGAGATTTGGAATCAGAGAACAGAAGCAGCCAAACAAACACATCAAGCCGCATTCCCATTACCTGGGAATTTGATTGCCATGGTATTCATTGTGCAGGCAGATTTGAATGAGCAACAGCGAGAACGCCTAGTACCAGCAATGAATGCACAAAATATTCCAATGGAAAACTACGAGTATCAGGCAGTCAAGACACAGTTTCTACAACTTTTCTGTGTAAGTAGAGCCAGCATTAGCGATCCACAGCTTCAACACCGCCCTAGCGGTCGTAGGCGTCGAACATACTTCATCGAAGAACACGGCACCATGGATGGCGAAGAAGGCTACTGGGTGACCGATGAAACCACCGCTGAACAAGGTTTCATGGCGCTGTACGACGAAGATCACTTTCTTGCGGTGAAGGCTGATGGACACGGGGAAAAGGAAAAGGTCAAAGAGGCCAGGTTTCAGACCCCGTGTTTGGGGAAAAGGCTATTTGCGCTTGACTTATGAAGATCGGACTCCTCCTGCCTTGGTAAGGATAAAGGCAAGAAAGGCAATAAGTCTTACACCCCGCAATGGCAACAGCCATATTACTTACGGAAAAGGAAACAAAGGCAAGGATCAACAACCTTTTGCAGGCAAGGCCAAGGGTAAAACTTCAACAACAGCTGAAAGCACCTCTTGGCAAGGTGATGTGAGTGGTGTAGGCACCGACTTGGGGTTACTACGGAGAAGACTGGTATCAGTCCGGATGGCATGATAGTTTCACTTCGTACTGTGTAGAGCACATCGAGTGGTCGGATAAGACAGACCGACAAGATGATATTTCACATGCACACATGAGAACGCTACAACCGAACTAACGGTTAATGCTTTCGGCACTTGCACAGAAGGAGCACACAAAGAAACAAAGTCGAACCTGACTTCACATGTGTCCTTTTGTGCTCAACACTCTGAACAATCATTTCTTAGTTCAGTGAGTGATTGATCTCAGCCGAGAGCCGACATTCGTGATTTTAGATACAGGACGCACGCGGTCGATGGGATCGAGACATGCCGTGAACCGTTTGATGCACGCATGTTCGAAACAGGAACCAAACCTCATTTGGTTCAAGACGGTACCATGTCGGAGTATGTTTACGTTCGCAAACGGGGAAACGTCTGTGATCACTCAGAGATTGGTCATGTACTTTGCCCGTTCTAACGGAAGTTCTGTTTCGACCGCCATAGACATTCTGGATAAGGGTATGGTTCCGATTTTGTTCAGTATTCAGCAGATGAGAAATCTTGAATTTGAACTCATGCATACTGCAGC